TGATAAGATAGGATAGGATATGAAGGGAGAGACAATATTAGACTTTCTTAAATACAGCCAACGATTTTAAGGTGTTTCAGTCAACCAAAATGGTAGGACTCTAATGAGTAAATATACGTTTTCAGTCAGCAAAAACGCTAGGACTAGTCTCTAACGAGTAAATGTACGTTTGCGAATATGATGTCATGTCATCTTGCTCTCTTACTTGAGAATATGACTCATCGTCAGCTTGCTCTCTTATTAGAGCATCTGCAATGGAAATTATTTCATGGGTTTCTGGAAAAAAAATATAGAGAAGAAAGAACGATAGGATCTATTCTTGTTTAAGAGACTCAAGTTTCTAAGTCACTCTACAAGTTATATTTTCACTGGCCAGCACATTTTAATAGTACTGTATATGGTAAATATATATTCTAAAAAAAAAACCATGAAGCTATTTTGTTATTGCGCATGCCATCAGAACTTTTAATTCTTACTTAATTTGTCTAAGTAAGACTATTCATGTACTCAATCAAGCGAATAGACATGCTCATATAGATGACAGAATCCAACACCGAATTTCTGTTTTATTTCTCAATATAGGACCCATTCGAATATTGATACATTGTCTTGCCTTATCATTTACATCAGAATTAATTCACAATGGCTAAATTGTTTTTCACAACTGAAATTATTGATACGATACAAGTGGAACTATGCAAACATCCTTCATTTTTTTTTGTTGGTAAAAGACATCTTTCATTTTTGCACACATGGATATGATAAAATAGGATAGGGTATGAAGGGAAGGGACGACACTGGACTTTTTGCTTAAATACAGCCAAAGACTTTTAAGGTTTTCCAGTCAACCACAATTGTAGGACTCCAACGAGTAGATGTGCGTTTGGGAAATGACGTCGTAATATTACGTCGTCATCTTTTCTCTCTTACTTGGGAATATGACGTCGTCGTCAACTTGCTCTCTTACTAGAATTCTTTAATTCTTACTTAATTAGTCAAAGTAAGACTTAATTATATTCAATTCTAGTCTTAAACTTGCTCTCTTATTGAAATTCTTAAGTCTTACTTCGCTAGTCGAAACAGTGTCACCTTGTAAATGCGTAGTACAAAACTAGATAAATAATCTACTCAACTGTTATACTCGACCCAAAATAAGTCATTTAAAAGTATTACTCCTTCCGTTTTACTTTATATGTCACTAGAGCCGGCCCGCCCTACGGGCGGGGTATACTTTACGTATAATGTTCGTTATGAGTTTCTGTATAGTTTTGTGGTTTGTATTACATAGATGTTTATAATGGTGATTTTTTTTTTTGTATTTTAAATAATTTTAGGAAGGTCGGATTATATGTAATATAATTTAGTTTGGTTTGTTTATGGACATCTCGAATTTATATATTTGGGTTCAGATCAATGTAATGTTAGCAATGTTTATATTGTTGTAGTGCTTGTAATATGAAAATTTGATTAATGGTTGATGGGTTAGATTATTTATTCTTAGTATGTATTGGTTATTTAATTTTTAATCTAGATTGAATGATGTTGGCTGATGATATGGATTGTTTTATTATAATCTAGATTTATGTGTGATGTAAGAAGCTAAGAAACTGTATATTATTTTTTGAGTGTGGTTTATAAACTTGTATTTGAATTACCTTGCATCTTGTATTCTCTAAGTGTCTTACGAATGGAAAAGCATAGACATTATTTACACAAACCACAAAATGAAGTACAAACCTAAAAAATAATGTTGCGGCATAGAATTGTGTGCAGGAAAAGATTAAAAATTAAACCCTTACCAATTCTAGCAACAGAGATGCCTACACGGCAGAAACAACACTCTCGTCGGTTGTAGTATCAAGCAACAACTACTCATCAGGAAATTATCTCCGTACTCAACGACCCTTCATCCTCCGCCGTTGTAGTATCATTGCGACACGTGACAACCCTCCCTCTCTAACTTGTTCAAGCGCCGAGTTAAGCGACCATTGTTTCCATCTTCTCAACCGAATCTCGAGCTCCATGTTCTTTCTCAACGCTCTTGGCATCTCTTCTTCCTTCTGTGCCATCAAAACCAAAAAGCTTTTGTTTCCATTTTTCTCAAGATCGCCTTTGTTTCTTGCTTCCTCTGTTCTTGCAAAGCATATCTCAAACTCTCATTCTGTTTTTGTCGGAAAAAATTGAGAAAACTTTATCAATGACCATGTTGTGAAGATCAAATCTTTCAATGAGATACGTGATTAGCTACAAAAGTCTGAAATTTATAGTAATGCATTTGCCGATACGTCAATTTCAGGCTATCTACAAACACATGTATTGTATGTAATAAAACTAACGACCATGAATATTTTTAATAAGTTCTGTGAGTAATTAGAGTCATAAGTCTGTGATTATTCTTTCAGTTCACAAATGTACTATTAACTTCTATGGTGTCAAACTACAGAGAAAATAAAATTAGCAGAAAGGAATATATATATATGAATCTCATCAAAACAAAATTATTGTTATATTAAAGTTGTAGTAAAATATATAAATGTAGAGAAAGTAAACAACGCAAAATATAATAGGTTTTCCCACAAAGGGAAAGTCACATGAGACAAAGTGATAGAAAAAACTCTTACCTAGTACTTGTAAGGACCCTTTCCATTGATGAGGACTCCATCCGGCATATCCCAAGTTTTTCCCATAGTCAAGAATTCTCCTTAACACCTGAAAAGCAAAGGTATAAATTAAAAAGGGGCAAAGATAATGAAACGCAGACAGAAGACAAAAGTGATTACATACTTTAAGGTCATGAGCGTACCACTTCGCCGTCAAGCTGTGGAAAAAGGATAAGATTAATGTCCTGGTTATTAATCACAATATGACCAAAAATTACCAGATGCTCTCAGAACGTTGAGTGAGGGAGAGAAGAAGAAGCTTACAGATTGATCTTCCACCTGAAACTGGTAAGTAAAGTTCCATCTCGGAGGAATAGGGAAGTGTGTGCCAGGAAGACCGTCTTGCTATAAGTTACGCCGCATTTGGATGCCAGGCAGTCTAGGCCTATTCCAAAAAAAAACAAATTAAAAGAACTCAAAAAGCATATTAGTAGCCACATAACAAATGAGAACCAAACATTTTAGTGATAACTGATAAGTCGTATAGAAAAGAAAGGTCTTGGACTCAGCAAGTCAAAAGAAGAGGTTCATCCAAATGATTGAAGACTAACAACAGCATTGTAGTAGGTAATAGCATTAAACAGGGGTCCTGGAAACTGCCCGTTGACGGCTATCACATGAAACTCAATCAAAAATATGTTTACACCCAACTTGAACCGTGGAAGAGCCCGTGGAGGAGTATGAAGTCTTCAGATCGTAACTCAAAGTTACTTAAGAACAAATGAACATATGATTTTCAAAGTAGGAAAGCTCACCTTTTATAGTGGAATCTCCGGATTGGGACTCCCATAGAAGGGATTGCGTTTCCGTGAAGGCGGATCTCTCGAGCGTGGATGGTGGTTCCTCTTGAGGCGTTTCTCTCCGACCTGGAATCGTCTCTTCACCGCTTTGAGGAGTAGAGGAGATCATTGTATCTCGGACCTGTGAGAAGCTGAATCACGTCGAGGCTTGCGGTGGCTAGGGTTTTGGAACTGGTTTTTCTCTGACACTGGTGTATTGGGGCTGCGGTACACCTCTGTGGGTGACTCTTCGATGGTTTTTGGAAGTGGATCTGGTGACGGCTTGGACACCCTGTCCTTGAGAAACCACCGAAAACTACTCTAGCAGATGAATTAATCAAGAATCTTTTACGTTGGCCGCCTGAAATGGTGAGAAGAACCAGAAACGACATCGAGGGTGGCCTTGTGCTTTACATAATAACATTAAGCCCAAATCAGATTTGGAGCCCAGTCGAATATGGTCGATATTTATCAAAACGTTTAGTTATCACAAGTTGTCCTACGTGGCCTTTCCAGGCTGGCGTCTGACGTGGCATGCTTTATAGGAGAGATTACACTGTTTTATATAATAGATTCTATTCTAAATTTTTTCATAAATATTAAAAAAATAATTAAATTTATTATTTTACCTTTATTTAATACATTGATTTCTTTGATTATTTAAATTAATAGGCTAAAAGAATAAAGCTAAATTTGAAAAATTAGTTAAAAATGCATTGAAAACATAAAACGATACTTAAAATGAAATAAAATTTAACCTCTAAAATGATAACTAATACGAAACGGAGGGAGTATTGAGTTTTCTAAATGGGATTCTCAGTAATATTTTTTTAACAATCTCGGTTTTCAAACCTAGTTATAAGAAACTAGTTATATATGCAATAAAAATGTCATAGTCAGAAAAATTATATAAACAAAAGATGACAAGTGCGTAAGAGTTTCACCATTTAAAAAAAAAAATCTCAAAATGAAAGATTCATGTATGAGTCTCTCAACTTCTTATTTCACTCTCTCATACTTTTTAAAATCATTTTGGTAAGAATTGCTCCTAAAAATACAATTGTAAAGAGAAATAGTACATGGAAATGTTTTTGTTAGCTAAAATGAGATTTTTTGAGACAGCTTTTTTAAAAGAGAAATAGTGCATCAAAATGTTTTTGTTTCAAACCTTATACAATAAATTTAAATGTTCAGAATAGCATTATTTATTCTGTAAAAAACACATGTCCGCCCAAATTAACTATACATACAGTTTAAAAACTTCCCACAAAAATTATTTAATTATTTAGTGAGTGATTTTGACTAATAAACATTTTTAAAATGGTTGCTATTTTTTATCCAAAACTTGTATATATGCTAAATATCATTTTTGGTGACACTGATTGATTTTTGACATTTCTTCTGCATGTTTTTTTCTAAGAAGAATATTCTTTGTGTTTTTGCCAAAGGAAGACTTAATTACGTCGTCAATAAAAAGAAAGTTTCTATAAGTAGACAGACTCTCTTCAACCTGTGAACTCACATATCTCATCAAATTTGGATAAATCTGCTTCTGATCTACTTTGAAACAAAAAGGTATGTTCGGTTTCTTTTAACTTTAGTTTTCACGAATTTGAATATTGATTTCTTCTTTGCAAGAAAAAATATATTAATATATTTGAGATATAAAATCCATCAAATTTTAAAGTTTAATATTTTGGCTAAAGATGTCTACATTGCAACAGGTTCTCTTGTGTAGGTTACATATTTCTGTGTTTGTTTTTCCAGTTTCCAACAAGGATAATTTTCTTTTCTTGTGCAAGTCATCTCTCGTTTGTGCAAAATAAATGGTTTTTTTTTTTAAGAATACTATGTGAAGATGATGTACATATTTTGTATTTGTAGTAAATATACATTTTGTTCTTCACCGTTTAACTTGAAACTAGTTTGGTTTCTAATTGCAATGTAACACATAGGGAGAAGAACAAGAAGAGAAATGGGAGGTGGAGGGAAGGGCGATGACTTCAACAATGTTGGCCCCAAATATCTTACCTGTGTTGATTGGTACAATTTTGTTGTTATTTCGTATACTTCCGTCAAGAATAAATATTGCTTTGTTTTTTTTCGTTTAAACCATAGAAAAGCAAAGTTGAAAGAATGTGCTCAAGACTACAACATAAAATTATGGATTTCTTTTAAAAAAAACGTAGGAAACAAATTCTTTAGAAGGGTTAAAGAAAACTGTTACGACAGACCATGGAAGTTTTTACTAAAACCTAATCTTAATAGAGTTACTTTGTTTTTTAATAGGTCCAACTCTAACCATCGAACTGCAGTGGCATCATGTTTGGTACAGGGAGTCTACTCACTGCAACGGGATAAGATAAAGAAACGGAAATCAGAAGCCCACCTCTGGTGGGAATCCTTTGATTTCTCTTTAGCCGAGCCTCTGATCAACAAAGATGATAATTCCATATACGGCGCCGTTTTTGAATATAAAAACTACCAGAAGAATATACCTCATTCGGGAAAGCCTCCGAGTCACGTGATTGCCTTTCGCGGCACGATGCTAAAATTCAAAACTTGGTATAAAGATCTAAAACAAGACATTCGATGCTTGTTCAACAACCTTAATAAGGGTAGTAGGTGTAAACATGCCACACAAACAATCGAAACTGTGCTGAAGAAACACAGTACCGATGAGAAAGTATCTGTCTGGCTCGCTGGACACTCTCTCGGAGCAGGTATAGCGTTATTGGCCGCGAAGACCATGACGAAGCGTGGATTCCCCCTCGAGACTTACGCATTCAACCCTCCCAACTCGTCTTTGCCTCTAGAGAAACTATCTGATATTGATGTGTTTAAACGCGTGTTTCGATTCTCTGAGAGTTTCTTCAAAGGGACCATAGCCGTGTTCTCTCATAACAAGGTAAATAATACTCCCTCTGTTTCGATTTAATTTTTTTGTTTTAAAGTAAATGATACAAAATTTATTAATTTTATGTGTTATTCTATTTTTTAGAGGATGAAACATGGTTATGTTTATATGTAGTAATGTTTTTATTTTGGAAATATACAAAATTAAATAGTTTTTTAATCTATATGCACAAACTTAAAATGATAAATAAAATAAAACGGAAAGAGTATAATTAATCTTATTACGTAACAACTTGAACTTTTGCTCTACTAAATAGTTGATTGCATAGCCAAATGAAACATTAGTTTTAACCTACAAAAATTTTCAAATTAATATATTCTAAATTGTTTAAACAACTCTCATGTTTTTGGTCAATTAATTACAGTAGTGATCGATCACTAGGACGTAGTTGAAAATGCTCTTTAATTAGTTTGTTTTTCCCAAAACTATATTGAGAATATTAACTTGTTTAAACCATAAACTAAAACAGCTTATATGATTTAGTGATCTTCTCTTGACAATTTCCTTTATGTTTCTTTTATCTTTGACTATTACAGACTCAACAACACGATCCAAGATTAGCAGCGTGGACACCTTACGTATATGTGAACCCATCAGATATAGTCTGTGCAGAATACGTTGGTGATGTGAAACACAAAAACTTCATGGTTGATTTCGGATTAGGCAAAATTGAGAGTGTGGGTGCTGGAATCTCTCTTAGGAGTTTAATTTTCGGAATAGAGAGAGCAGAACCTATTCAACATCTTTTGTCAGCCGATATAACGGTAAACAAGAACAAACTAAATGTTGTTGAGACAGATAATGTGCTTAAGAAATGTTGGTATGAGTTTAAGAAAGCTCATGGTCTTGCGCAATGGTGGGAGCCAAACCCAACCCTTCGGGCAAATTGGGAAACACACAGCATTAGGCCTTCTAATCTCTGTCTGGAAATGGAGTCATCCTCGTCCACTTAAACCCTTTTCCTAAGGATTCTGTTAGTATTGGTTTGGGGAACTATCTATCTAGCCTTATTCGGTCTCTTCAACTTTTCGTTTGTTGTTGTTATTTTTCATGTGTTTGAAACGTTTGTTGTAAAAGCTCTTTGAATTATTTTGCTTGTGGGTCAACAACATCTACTAGAATTATTGCTACTATATATTGAGAAATGTTTATATTTTTTATACATAAATTAAGAAACTACTTATAACATTTGAACATTCACATCAATGAGAGACTATATGAGTTTCTTAACACTAGTATTTTAGTTATCTAATTGCCTTTTACTTATTTTAGATAAACTGGACATTGTATAAATGTGTGATTTGAGGTTCTTAATTGAATAGAATTTTTTCAAGAGACCATTCTCACATCTCTCGTCTTTTTATATTTTCATATTTTATTATTTGATAATCTTCTCTTTACGACTATTTTTTTAATATATTGTTTGAAAGAATATTTTAGGAAACTTCTCTTTTTAAATCATCATGACTTAATATATGACAATATTTTACAAATTAGTGATATAATAGATTACATAGAGATGTTCAAAAGCAAAGTAATCTTATTATACTTTTTCAAGCATAGATTCCATCAAGCATTTCTTACTGGTTTGCCTTAGTGCCTTGTGTTACAATCCGGATGCAAACCTTTATAATGCATGCATGTTTTTTATTGACATGAAAATGGTGGATATGTTTTGTAACCATTTCATCAATGAATTCCACTTTTTCTTGCTTCAAATGCTTAGAAACCTTTTGATTTTGTTGTTTTTTTCAGTTTTCATTTTATGTTACAATCTGCAAAAGATCAAAGTTTGTGCAGGAGGTTTAAAAGGAAAGTGGAACTAGAATAGACTCAAAAATAATAAACTTATCATCCATAGTATATAATATATATGTAGGACTTGTTCATCATCCAGAACTGAAATAAGTAACACCGGAACGTTATTGAACTCCAAAACACAGTAGCATGACGATTCTATAAACCCAACAACTGTTTCCAAAAGCCAAGGTTGAGTTCACAGACATTAACACACTTATTTATTGTTATGGACATCGGATATACACATATGTGTAACAGCCATGAGTGAAATCTTGTGCCTGCGATAAAAAGATATTTTCAGTTCAGAGAGTACTTGTCGAGGTAGCGATCCATAATACCAGAGACAGTGCTGATAAACTCCTCTTCTGTCTTCTCTAGGGACACTATGGCTTCAGCTTCAAAGATGATTAGTTCAATCACAGATTCTTTCTCAAGTGTTTCTCTGCACATAATACTTCCAATGGCAAAAGGTGTGAGACCCTTCTCAGCACCTTTCTTGAGAAGCATGGTGGAGATGCGGAAGACACGGGCGCATGAAGACGGAATCTCCCAACCGTGGAGTCTCATAAGTTCAATGTCTTGCTCAGCGTCCAAGGCTTTGATGTAGTCCAAAGTCTCTGAAGAGTATGGCTCTTTTGCTTGAGGCCAGTATAGCCACTCGAATGTACAGTCTTCAAACTGAACAAGTAAGTTTGTTTTAGTGATTTAGTCCAAATACTAAGGGTCTAACCGGTGATCAAGGAATGAAAGTGAATAATGCATTTTTACCATTCCTAATTTTTTTACCATTTATTAGGAATAGTTTTTCCTTTCTATTCCTGTTCATTCTTTTCTCGATGAATATAAAATAAAATTATTTCTCACCAAAATTGATAAAGAATAATTTTTTCTCTTCATTCCTATAATTTTATTCCTCTACGTTTTTTCTCTACTCAATCCTAGTGTTTCTATGATGGTCACCAATTAGACTCTAAAATATAAAATGAAACCAAAGTAATCACTTACCTTATTAGGAAAGCAATAGCCATGGTCGATTGGTGTAAGCACAATCTGACCATCATTACCATCACGGCTAACCAAAATGTTACCACCATGACGATCTGCATTAGCAAGCCTCATGTCTAGCACCGATATCTTGTGAACCTGATCAACAGGGAAGACTCCATATCCCATATCTTCACAAGTTCCAACGTTACTCACAAACATCTGCAACGAGCCAATCTTTGTATCCTCCTGAGAGGAACTATAACCATTAGGATGGTTGAAGTCTTTGTGCAAACATTTAACCATTGTTGTTGGTGGAACACCAGAGAAACCAGGTTGGTCATGAGGGAAAGTTCTTGGTCCGGTGATGGGATAGTCCAAAATGTAAGCTGCTACTTCTCTAAAAGCTCCTTCACCAACTTGTGTGCCTTTCTTTAGTCCCTCTCCGTCGAGTGAAAGAGGTAGTCCGTGTGGGTTGTTCACAGCCATTGGCTCCTCGTCTATTGGTTTAAAGACGGATACATACTTGTGTCCGGATTGGTCTTGCATGAAGTAAGCTCCCCCTGATCCATCAGATGATTTTTTAGGGCTGTTTCCTTTCTCCAAGCCTTCTATAGTTGAGCTGATAAGCTCCTTGAGTAGTGAAGGCAGTTCAATCTCATGGTTAACAACAAGAGGCTCCACAAAGAAGTCTTTAGGCTTTCCAATTAGCAAGTGAATCACATTCTCTCCACTTTTACAAAGATCAGTGATGAGTCTTTGATCATCAAATAGCTCTTCACCATCTAATGTGAGCTCATGATCCTTTAAAGATAACTTCTGCTTCACGTAACCAACGCTTCTACTCTTCTCAACAAAGAGCTCAACCACCTTACCACCAAAGGTCTTAACAGAAACGGCTTGGAGATCAGAGAGTCTAATAACCAAATCCAACAGTTTATTTCGAGCTACATCATGGACAAGCAGCTTCTTCTGCTTCTTCACAAAAAATCCCTTGATACTCTGAATCGTTAGCTTCATTGATGCAATAGAATCTGACTCCATGACCCGCATAGGGTTTAAAGATTCAGCAATGTTCAGGAATATCAGGATTGGGTCGTCTAAGTTCAAACCGTTACCAAACCGTCCAATAATACCTGGAAAGTTGATAATTTCTTCCAGGGCTGGACATAGAGCTACACTAGCAAATGACATACCAACTATATATAGCTTCTATTCTAAATCCTCAAGAGAACTCAACCTTTAATCTTCTTCCGTGTACTTTAAGAAAGATCAAGTTCCCTGCACGGATTCAGGAACTCTAAAACAAAGGTTTTGTAATTCACATCTTTGCCCAAGCAATATCTCTCAAGGATTCATTTTGAACTTAAACCCAATCCCACACCACCTTATAGCTTTAGCGTTTCATTTGCATTACCTCAAAGAACCTGAATAAATAATGACCAAAGGAATCAGTTAAAAAAGATATTCATTGATGTATTACTAAAACAAAGGGAAATACAAATTTACAGTAAAATAAATCCTAATTGTTTTAGAAAGATACTATTCCAATTAACAACATATTAAACAAGATGTAAAATCTTATGATCAGAGTCAAAAGATTAAAAAAAAAAACGTTAATGCTAACCTCTCCTCTCTTGTATGGATGATGAACAAGTCTCTAATTGAATAAGACCTTTAGAAAAAAAAAAAAAAAGGTTCAAGCCAACCTCTCCTCTATTGAATGGATGATGAACAAGACTATTAACTTAATCTTAGCAGACTCTATATAACCTTTTTTAAAAAAAAATGGTCTAAAAAATCTATATAATTAGTAAATCTTTACAGCTAAAATTAGCTCAAAAGGCATAACTAAACAAAGAAGGTTTCAGGTCAACGTCTTATATCAAAAGACAAAACAGGTTGGCTTATTCAAAGTTTTATCTGACTAATGAAGTTTAATTATAGGCTAATTCTCACACTTTAAACACCTGATCATAGAAGTTCTAGATTATCTTAATCTATCATCATCAACATACAGTAACAATGATAATCACTACATAGAAACTTCCTTATACAGCTATATAATCAATCATTCACGATCTGGAAGAGATAACAACAAACAAAATCGATTAGATA